AGCTCATTCCCTTCCGTGCCTCAGCAGCGGTGGGTCCTGAATCGCGGGAAGCAGACGGCTGCCCCTCTTTCCTCGAAAAAAAGAGACAAACGAGAGCGGAGCTTTTTCCCTTGGAAAAAATGCTAGCAGTGCACGCCGATTGCCCCCTCGGAAACATCGCGTGCGTGCTCTTTGCCCAAACAAACAACACATAGATCGTGTGTGTCATCTGGTGTCAAATAGCGATGACACGGATGCACACACCTTCTAAATGCTCTGCTAGTGCTTGCCATAATAAATAGAGGTAGCTCTTACTTTTTCCTTGGAAATGCACGCTTCAAACAAAACAGTCAATGAAGACGAAGAAGAGAATGATGTGTGCTCCCGGCGCCTATTTATACTATAGTCGCACCGGTAGTGACGTCATGGCTGTCGCCGGCCAACGAGTTGGTGTTTTTTCAATGTATGCTTCAGACACGGGTCACGACGAGGCGTTCCCCATAGCGACCCCTAGAGGACGCAGTTCAAAGTTCCCATGAAAGGGAATCTAATTTAAAGCATATAAAATCAGAACAGACTACAACATTATCAAACCATGTTTAAAGACAAGTTAATATATACAATATGTTGATAGCATTAATATGTAGATGAGTTACAGCATACTACCTTTGGTCTTCAGCAGACACATTTAACATTTTATTTTCAACTTTTAAGACTCATTTAAGGTTCAGAATGCAAGAAGGTCCCAGTTTGAGTCCCGGCTGTGCCAGGAGCCCTTTCAGTGTGGAGTTTACATGTTCTCCATCTGGGTGCTCCGGTTTCACCAACAATCTAAACATATGCAGGAGAGGTGAATTGGAGACAGTAAACTGTCTGTAGGTATGAGTGAACCATCCATCCATCCAGGGTTTTTCCATGCCTTCAGCTCCAAACGCCGGGGTTGAATCCAGCATAATGTGACCCTACAGAGGACAAGATGATTGGTGGATGGATGGATGGAACATCAGCTTGATGTTTCTTCCTCTGTTACAGCTCACTGGCTTTGATCTTCAATAGATGTAACTGTGAAATACACACACAAAACGTTTATTTCCAAAATCGAATTGGACACTGTTTCCACTGCAGTTATTGTTTCAATTAATGATCAGATCATATGTTGAAAATGTGGTATGTCTGTCAAAGAGGGAATGTAAATCATTTGAGAGAGACGGATCAGACAGAAGTTTTACCTCTCGCTCTGTAGCATTTGAAAAGCAGCACGACTGTCGCCAGCAGATACGGACAAGCTGCCAGAAGAAAACTGAGGATGTTGAAGACAGAAATCTGACCTGAACCTGACACTGAAAAACAAAAACACAAGCACATTATTGAGCAACATTACGGAGCTCCTAAAGGCTTTCAGGAAGTTTCTCAGGGAAACCAATGTTTTGTGAGCAAACGCAAAAGCATCGAGATATACTTTTTTCCTCCCATCTCATTTTTATTCCACCATCATGTTCCTTTAGGAGCTCTCTGTTAAAGAAATAGTTCACCAAAAAATTAATATTCTGCCAGAAATTACTCACCCCCATGTTGTTCTAAATCTGCATGACTTACTTTCATCTCTGTGGAACATAAAATATGTTTTGAAGCCTTTTATTTAATTAAATTTATTTTAATGTTTAATCTTCCTCAACCTTTCATGAGTTTGTCAGCTTCATGTTGGCTGAGGCTGAGATAGCCTGCAACCCAATTAAATCCTTCAACGCTCTTCATGCGGAAGCTAATAAGGAGAAACATAATCTCAAGGCCAATAAGACCAAAGCCAATGTCTTCCATACGAAGATGGTCACACAGCACGAGAATCCGAGGCCCACTACTAAAGTCACTAAACCATGCCTTTTCTGTCAAGACAGTGAATATCAAATGTACGCTTGTTCTAAATTTACTGCAAGGCCTCTTGAAGAACAAAGACAGTTTATCAGGGACACAAAGCTGTGCTATGGATGTCTGAAGCTCAGTCACAGTGCCAGAGACTGTCGTTACAGACATACCTCTAATACATGCAAAGGAAGACATCCAACCTGTTTGCAGCTTCATCAAAAGAGTAAAGCCATCCTCTGTTCGGAACTCAGAGAATGCACATAAGAAGGTTGTTACGACGTCTCTGAGTGTAGAATCAGAAATTACATCTACTAATACCTCCATGATTGTTCCTGTGTGGTTGTCCTCACGAAGCGACCCGGTTTCTGAGAAACTTGTCTACGCTCTATTAGACACACAAAGTGACACCGTCTTCATCGAACAAGCAGTAAGTCAAGGCCTAAATACTGAGAAATGTCCAGTGACTCTTAGGCTTATTACTATGATCGGAAAGGATGTCTTGATGTCAAGTGAAAGAGTGTCTGGCCTCAGAGTCAGAGGTTTTAATTCTAAAGCAGTCCTAGAGCTTCCTCCTGCATATACAAAGCAATGTATCCCTATAGACCGTGCGCACATCCCTACAAGTAAGACGTCAAGGCATTGGAAACATCTTTCCACTCTAACAGACAAAATTCCACCCCTTCAAGACTGCGAGGTTGGCCTATTGATAGGATATAATTGTTCCAGAACTTTGGCACCCAGAGAAGTGATTCTTGGAGCAGACAATGAGCCATATGCTATTCACACAGATCTGGGATGGAGCATTGTGGGCCCTTCCTCACAACATCATGAAGCACTGAGTGGTGGGAACTTGTGTCATAGAGTGTCTGTTAAGGAAATTCCCTCTGTAATGCCCACAGATCTCATTTGAGTATTGAAATCGGATTTCATGGATACTAGTGCTGTGTTCAAAATATCGATACGATGATGTATCGTCACAGAGATTTGACATACGAGTATCGATACAGCTGGCCCTGTATCGATATTGTGGCACGTGTGCAGCAGTGGACCGCGCTTAATTTGTTTAAAATTTTACAACGTTTAAAATTGAGTAGAAAAGTGTGAGGTTTCTAAAAAAGAATTAATAGAGCATATATAGGCTACAACAAGGTTTAATCTGGCCG